AACACACCCAAACAAAACCAGGAAAAACAGACACGAGTGGCATCTCCACAGGCAAGACATAAAACATTTCTGAATGGACAAGAGGAGCAACAGAATTTCCAAGTGTTTTGTATTGATTTCAATTGTTTGTTGGCACCCAAACATAAATATGATATTGAAGGGGGTTGAATAAGGAATACTTGACTCAGACTACGAAGGTCAATCACACCAAAAGCAATTTACTATACTAAAACTGAACTTGTCGCCTTTTTAAATCTTTAAGCTTGAAAAGGCCTCCCCAAATTCCTCAGTTTAATTTAAGTTTAGTAAAAAGTTCAACAAACTTAGCAAAGTTGTGGCTTCGTGTTTTTGATAACCAAATAGATATGACTTAGTAAATTACTTTGGTGGGCAACTAATTGTTTAAAAGGTGTTTTCCCATGAAACGCTCGATTCCATGACTATATTTTAATTATAGACTTTTTAAAGTTGTTCTGCCCTTGCGTTTAGTTTTTCCATTTTAACTAAACTGTCTGCGTGTTTGCATATTTAATCAACATTTTTTTACTTTTTGCTTTTGTTTTTGTTTACCAACTTCCGACTTTTAGGAGGCGGGACGACTGGAGTTTTCGCTCAGTTAGACTCTCCTTGGCGCTGCGTTGGCATTTATAGCTCAGTTAGGGAAGGACCAAGGTGAAGGAGCTAAAAAGTGGATGAGTGGGCTGGTCGTCTGAGAGTGACTGGCATAAATCACAGAGGGCAATATGCAACAGTATTTGCAGTGCGGCACTGCGAATACTCCACGCTGCTTTATGACCCCGCAAACCTGAAAGCGATTCCAAGTCCTCCGAACTTCTTGTTGCAGCTTAACGCGTTAACTCGTACCTAAGCCAAAGTTTTAATAGGAGCTTGAGGAGTTACTCGAAGTTAACGGCAGGTCTTATGGGCTGTGGCCTTCATACCTTTTTATTAAGCCCCTGTGATCGTTTATATTGGCCAAGAAGGAGACCAAACTTGAGCATAGTTAAAGAGAGAAAAAATATCTCCTGGCTATAAATTATAACAAGTAAACAGTCAAATGGAATATGATTTAAAAAATACTTAAATATTTATCAGAGCAAGAACTCTATTATGAAATTCCTAAAAACTTGTTTGGCATAGCAACTATCTAAAACAAAAATAAAATTCAAGTTGGACAGATACGAAAAAAAGAGAGTACGAAAAAGAACTCCAGCACACGCAATCCAGGCAGCTGCATCTCGGACTTGTAAATTGCATTTGCAGCCAATTTACACAAAATTAAATTGAATTTACGCTACGCTTGCCCAAAATATCAATGAATGTCGCCCAGAGAGATAGAGAAAGAGCAAGGCTGCTGCTGCTGCTGGGTGGGCGGCATGTCCTTGGCATGCAAGGACTCCACACAGAGCACCGCAAAAAGTCAACTGCATTTTATCAAAATTCAAATTGTATTTTCGTTGCTCGTCTGTGGGTCCTCGAGTCTGCTTGTTTAGCATGCGTGATAAGCAGCCAACAAAAAGCAGAAAGGACGACTGTCACAGAAAACTTGGCAACGCACACGGTCGCACATAAATGAAGTGCCTGCAACTTGGCCGTGTAGTTTGTTGCATGTTGCACATAGAACGAAAAACCGTAGTGGGGAAAGTGGAAAGTAGAAAGCGCCAAGGCGTGGGCAGAACCCAAGACAACGTGGACAACAAACTAATGCACTCACTCGTGTGAATCCAGCCCACCTTTCCCTTCTATTTCTCCACTTAGTTGTTCTTGGAACTGGCTGACTTAGTTCGCTCGACAAATCACACGAGCTTCACTCCGGGCAGCAAATGAATCCAAGTGCAACTTTCCTACCTGCGTAACTTCCCGAGTGTTGAAAGCCGGTGAGGAATGGACTTGAGCGGATAAAGCAGGCGGACTATAAGTCAACTAAGTCTTAACATCTACGAACGGGATCAGGGACGAGTAGCAGTTCAATCAGGATATTAGAGGGGTATTTGATAGATCTTTGCTGAGTTTCTTTTTGAAATAATTATGTATACCAATTTTACTTTAATTTTATAACGATATGTCAATTAATCAGGGTCAAACTTTTTTATCTCTTTGAAATATTTCTAATGTTTTGTATAATTTGTCGAGTTGACAACAATAAATTCGAAATGCTTGAAACTTACTACATCCCTCATGAATCTATAATAACTTTATCTATTATTGACGAATTCACACTTCTGATATCAATTCAAAAAGTTTAATGCTAGAAAATTATTTTGAACCACTAATAATAATATGCTGAAAAGAAGTGTTGATATTTTTGATATATTTTCGAATCTATAAATGATTTTCTGTGTTGTTGAAATAATGTTCAGAAGAAATATGCAAGTCTGACTCTTATTAAATTTTATTCAACAAAGAGATACAGTTGTCCCAGGAAAGAACCCTAAAGTCCCAACGGTCGCCAAAGGTCTAACCCTGTGCTTGCAAAGCAACGTTAAGGATTCCGTGTACATTCTCATCAATATCATATTAATGCTCGGCTGCCAACAAACAATTGAAAACAATACAAAATACTTAGGAATTCCTTAGCCCCTCAGCCTGTATTTATTCCCAGCCTGGTTCGTGACGTGTTTGTCTGGTTGTTTGGGAGCGTGTGTGGTTGCCTTAAGTTGGCCTTGTGCCAGAAATCCTACCTTACTCATTTTTCTACATATATAGTATGCTTCCCTTTTTAGGTTTGGGCTTTGTTTTCGTCTTGGGAAGTGGATACCCGAACTGGGTTGGGAAAAGGCAGAAATACTTTTCGGTTTGGCCCGTTATGCATATTTGCCATTTGTTCACCTCTGGATCTGTTCTTCGAATGCCAGAAATATGCCGCAAGTGCTGTCAATTGTTGATGATGTGGGAATTGTTTGAACCTAATGTTTTTAAGACAGCAGTAAATTCGACAGGGCTTTAATGTGTTATTTTTCGTGCTCGCTATCTCAGAATAAGTGGAAATGGATATATATAATTTACATATTTTTGATAAGCTAGCAGGCAAGCCCGGGAGATAAAAGGAAAAACATTTTAAGCATTCTCATACCGAAACCAAGTTTACCCTTGTTAGCAAAGTTCGCAAAATGGTATGCTCGTAAATCAAATCTTGCAGGGGTTAACTTGTTCTTTATATATATGGCTGTATCGCACTTAAACTAACTAATTGGTAACTATTTTTTTAACCAAATAAATTTAATAAAAAAAATCGGAAGGAAGCTTGCAGCTATCACAAATGTCGAGCAAAATGCATAAAGGCTTAACATCATCGAAGAAATGATTTTCCTATTATTTTTCAATATTTTCACCGATTTTCGTTATATTTTATCAGAATATTATTTGGTTAGAAATGCTTCCAATTTAAATGAATAAATTTCAGGGAAATTTAATTCAAGAATATACATTTCGATTTCATAATTAAGTGGGTAGAAAAAAGCCAGAGATGGTCGGCCAAACTTTAAGTTCTTAAGCGGAATGGAGCTGGTCATGTCCACTGCTTCTGAGGGGCAGTTCCGTGCCCCAGCGCCACATGCACCACGATTGAGATTGGGCGGCGGAGGGCAGAGGAGCCCCGTCCTGTTGGCAACAACATCTTGCTTGGAATTTACGTGATGTACATTTAAACGCGAGTGAGCAACCGGAATTATGCGTCCACCGGGTCTGGAGCCGGAGGAGCACAGGGATTCACGGATGCGATGCGATGGTACGGGATGGTATGGGATTTTCGAACAGTTTGCTAAATTGGCATGGCCAGACTGAAGGCAAAAGGCCCGCCTAGGTGAGTGCGCCCTCCAATATTTCTGGCTCGAATGCGATGGGTCTATAAGTATGCTGGAGCGACGGCAGCGAGTCGCACATCTGCTGAAAAAATTGATTGATGATTGATGGCAATACAAAAAGGGCGACGTATGCCTCGCGCACATGCTATCCGTGAGTTGTTTGGTGGAAAGGTGCATCCACACCCCCCATTCCCCCAATCTCCCCCTCTATCCACATCCACAGTCAGATCCAGAAATAGAGGGAAAACCGAAACGAATGAGAGAAAAGCGCAATTTCACATGTGTATATAGTATACTCGATTCGGAATCGGAGTGGGTGGCGGCTGAATATGTGTGCGGCCCGCTTTACGGGCTTTCGGCTGGCACAAATATTCATGAGCAAAATGCCGTGTGCTCGTCTCCCGTCGCGGCTCAGACAAAATTTGCATAAATTTGGAATTTGAAAAGCTATCCAGCCTGATGGAAATGATGACGAGAACGGCACACACCTAAACACCCACTTCAAACAAACAGGGGAAGCGACGATGAAGATGGAACGCCCCCCAGTCAGTTGTGGCACGTTGTATTAAGGCATTAAATGTTTGCCGCACACATCGCAGAGCAAATATGTTGAGACCCGAAAATGGGAGCGGAAATGCCAGCCGACATTGCTGTGTTATTATCGAGAGTTTAGGCTAAGAAGCCTTGTACATATCATTTCCCAGAACACTGATAGAAATGTCAAAATGTTTGCCAAATTCCTTTGCTTATGCTGCTATTTATAATATTCATTGATTTTGGTCACCAGTTTAAGGTTTATATACTCTAGAAAATGGTTAAGATACAATTTAATGTCTTACTAAAAAAAACCTTTAATAACAGTCCTAAGTCACAGCTTTTATTATAAAGTTTCGTAATTACCCCGCAACCACAGAACAAATATATAAATATTTAATTTTTGATCCCGCCTTAATGCGAATAAATTCTAACTTAAGTATCGCACTAATTTCCGAAATTTAAAGAATAAATCCGTAAATGAGAAAATAAGAACAATAAGGACCTATATGATGCTGATATAAATTCAAAATATTTTAGTTCAATTTTAGTAATTTTTTGTTCCCTGTTCAAGTATAACTACTCTTTCTGAATAAGTATTTAGGTTTAACAACTCTGGCTGATTAAAGGGTTTGGCTTAGACTGTGAGTCACCTACCAATTTCGTGTGACTAATTTGCTGCAGCTTGTGCATTTGCAGGAGTTGACCTGTCGGGGGTGATATTGTTCCTGGACTGCTTGATGTTGGGTTTCTTAATGATGTTGTTGATGATGTTGTTGCTGAAGTGGCACTTGCATCGCTGGCAGCGGAATGCAATTGCTGTTAGCAAATTGCCTGAGTTTTGCAGAATTCGCGCAAATTGTGCCGTCTGCTCAAACAGAGGCGGGCCGAACTCGATGGTTGATTTTGAAGTGGTTGGCGGCGGTTTTGCATCTGCAGCCGTGGGTAAGGATATCCAAAGGATTGCGGACTTTGCTGCCAGCGCAATCGGCGCACGTTTAGGGCGCCACATGGATAGGCAACCTGCAAGAGAATTGATGAGAGATTCAAGAAAGAACACAACAGATGCTGCCACACACAAAATAATAAGGAGTTATGTATGCATATTTACTGTCAAAACAACAACATCAATGAGCAGGGAGCACAACATCGATACATCGATAAAGGGTTATAGTTATGAATTAAACGAAAATCATGATAACAGATAGTGTTATTGCGATATAAGAGAGGCTTATGAGTATGTAGTAATAGCAGTAGAGTAGTAGAAACAACATCAACAACAACAACATCAATTATAGAACAACATCAATATATTGGAGTCAATAACAACATTGATTCTTATAACTTATAGCTTTTTTGCGTTCCCCCAACAAATTGTATTCATATCCATATATTATGATTTGTGTCTTTCTTTGTCTTGCTTTTCCCAGCTTAGAACAGAAAAACATATCCACTTTTTGACTTAATTAAGGACTTAGACATTCAAAAAGGAACATTCCGACACACTTAATAATATATTACTTACCTTACTTTATTATTTTATGATATGCTTAAAAATGTGTACTTGTAAAGAGAAAAATTACAAATGTGCTTAGAGTACGACTAGAAAAAGCATGCTTATTAAAATAAATTGTACTAAAGCTATTAAATATAAATAATACAATCATAATCAACTCATAGACCTAATAACAGTTTTGATCAGGACTACAAATTTAAAAAAAAAAGGATTTCAAAGTCCTAACTCCTAAGTTGTGAACTCAAAAAAAAATATACTTTAATAAGCTTAAATTATACTTAAATGTCACAAAAAACCAATCTGTCACAGTTGGGGATTTATTTCGATTGTAGGTGATTGAATAACGTGACGAGGTAGCATAACTGGCACAAAGACGCCTCGGCAGATATACGCCACGAATGTAAATCGACATTTTTATTACGGTGTTGGAATATGTCAAGCTCCTCTTTTCTACAATAAAAATGTCGCGCATTTGGCTTTGAAATGCAAAAAAATGTTCAAGCGTTCCCTCTTCATCCGTTGTGACAGAACATTTTCGAGTTGAGGAGCTACCAGTTTTCTAATAAAATATATTTTTACACATGCGCATGCATAAAATATTCTCTTTGTAGTCGGTGTCGACAATATTTCATGGGCTTTATAAAGTTGAAAATTGTTCCTTCTTTGCCTCAGACAGTTTTTATGGCCACAGGAAAATATAGTCATAGGATGGTGTTCTAACATTAATCAAAGTCTTTATCTCAGTTGGGAAAAAAAACTTTCAAGGGCGAATTTGTATGAATTCATATCAAAATATACATTTTGTGTCCTTTTGTACCAAAAATGTATAAGATATAAATTAATTTTTACCTAAATCAGATGAAAGAATAATATAGATATATAATCATAGTAAATCCTATATGAAATAACAATCAAACAGGGACCTAAATACTCTTCCCTTCGACTTCACGATTCACACTGACAAGTGTCTTAAATTCTTGGCTCAGCTGGCCATCTTAATTAATTAACTGATTTGCAAAAATAATAATAAAACTGTCAGCCGCAAGTGAGAGCCAAACAGCCAACAGAAATCTCCTGTCCGATTCAACATACTATGTGGCGAATATATATTTTTTCTTATCTCAAATTCCTCTTGGCCAGAAAACACGGGGCGATGCCACTTTCTCACTTGCTCTCACGGGCCGTTGGCCATCGCAGCAGCAGCAGCAGCAGCAGAGTGGCCGTCGTCGTTCTTGTTTTTTCTGGAAACTGGCATCCGCCAACACTTAATTAAAATGGCATCCGGCCGAGTCGGGAAAAAATCCTGAGCGGCCCAACATGCCGCTCCCCTTTTGCCATCGCCCCCGCAATCGTCCAGCGATATAGACCATCCATCGCCAGCCAGTGGTGTGAGTAAGTGAATTCGTTTCCCGCTTTTGGCCGTTGATTGATATGCCAATGAAGCGAACGCCAAGCTCAGGGCTCCTATTCCAGCACTCCGGCACTCTGGCACTCCGGCCGAACGGATCCCGGAGACCAAGGAAAGAATGCGGAAAAAATCTAGTTCGTTAGCTCTTATGCAAAGCGGGACAATAGTGTACACTGCGGCCCAATCGCTGGCGCAAAGTCAACAAATGCAGATGGGGCCAGATAAATTGCCAAACTGAAGCGTCCAGCACCAAAGCGGCTTCGGGCCCAATAGGAATGGCTCTGGCTCTGGCTTGGCTTTGCCTTTGGCTTTTGGCTCAGTTAGTTGCGGTTCGGTTCGCTAGAGGCCTGCTATGGCATGGCCAGCTCTCGTCTGGAATAACAACACAAATTTTTGCTTTTTTCCCTGCCGAAACAAAGTTTAGGTGAATAATGAAAATGGGAGAGGCTTCCGAAAGGTGTGCTAAAAAATCAAAGGATTTTTCATCATACAGGTAAATACCCTACACCTAAAGTCAACACGGAATTAGGCAGTGAACTTTAAAATTTTAAAATAAGAAAAATAAATATTGTCGATAAGATCAAACAAAACATGCACCACTGGCCAAAAAAGTTTTTCAAATAAATAAAATATATAGTCATCCATAACTTATTAAGCTGAAAAACTTGTAGTTATTTTCTTTTATACCAAAAATAACCAAACAACCAAATCCCAGGTAAGAGTATTTGCCCTTCATTAATTTGGGATGTCCACAACTAACCACAAAATCCATTCATTCATGAATTGTGCTACATCAGGGGCGAGCGTGATTAATTGCAGGCTGTGGTTAAATCCCTTTTAGTCCTGATTTCGGAATTTTTCAGGTTAACTCAGCTAATTCTTTGCCTCGCACAGCTCACTTTATTTCCTGTTTTTTAGGTGTGTTTGGCGGCATAATAAAATATAACTAACAATCTTTTAAACTTAGTAAGCAAATTTGAATGTTTAAAACGTTATTCTAATAATAAAATATCTCTTGAATTCGTTATTCGTGTTTTTAAGTTACGCTAAAACCTCTTTAGTTGAAAATTTTAGAAGCTAACCGTCGTTTAAAGTCATTCCGGGAGTCTTGACCCTTTCGGCCTTAGATTTCTTTGACTTCCGTTGTAAGGCTTTTGAATTATCAGCGACTGCCATTCGCTGGCATATGTGCAAAGTTTCTGCCCACTTTCCGTATTTGCTTCTTGCTCTATCTACTTGGCAGCAGATATTTTTCATTTTTCGAAAAAAGAAAATTATGACTTTTCCCACCCAATTCCTGGGCACCGCCTTCTTTTGCCTCGTTTTGGGAAATTTGAATACGACAAAGCAGCGCATAAGATTCAGATAAAGCTAAACTGCCAGTTGCCATGAAAAGTTGAGCGGTGTTTCAGGCTTTTTTCATGACCGCCGCCTTGTAGGGCCACAGCTTGACTTTTTATTTTTATGCTAAACTGTTTCCTCTTCGCAAAAAGCCGTATTTCGTTTGCGCAAAAAACTGGCTGCCAAACTGAGGCACAAAGAGGAAGCCGGAAGTTATATCGTCCTCCGGATGATTACTGCACTTTCTGTGTGCAACTTGCCCCTGCTGAAGTGGTCTCGAAGTCTCCAGTTGAAGGATCCTTCACTTATCAAAGCACTCGATACGTTAATTAAAAGATCAGGAGGGTATTGCTCAAGGAATGAACCCGGTGCGCAACCCTTCTCGATTCTCGATTTAATAAAACAACTCTTGATTATGCAACAGGAAGAGTGGCTTCCTCCTTCCGTCTCCAGCAGCAAAACAATGCAGCTGAGGAGGCTGAGGAGAACAAAGGTGGAATTCTTCCGACTCGCCCTCAAGTTTTAATAAGTAGCACACATGCAGCAGCAACAGTCGGCTTCTTGCCACACCCAGTGGCATTGGCAAGTTCTCGAGAATAGAAAAAGAGACGAGGCTGAAAGTTCTGAAAGAAGCAGCCGGAGAAGAAAGATAAACTCTTGCCCGCACTCCTCGCAGGTCGTCGGGCCTAGACTAAGAAAATGTAATAAATTTCCACACAAAAACAGCCACAAATTTCCCTCTCAGTGTTTGTCAGGGTAAACAAAGAAAATATGAAAACAAAAGGCTGAAGGAGCAGATAGGATGGGATTGAATGGACCAGCCCTTTTCCATCCTTCGCCGAGCATCTCGAAATGGGCGGTCGAGGGTTTGTCTCCCAGTTTGCACAACTCGGCTGCAGTTCACAACATTTTGCATATTCAATAAACTGTTTCTTGCCGACTTGTGTTTAGTTTGATTTCCTTTTGAAGACTCTTTTTGTCGTCCTAAGCAAAATTAAATTTCAGTTATGAGTTTTGGACCAGGAACAATCAGAGGCGGGCACCCAATCAAGATTTGTTGTTTTTTCCAATAATTGAAATATATAGTAGTTGGGCCAGGACTATTTGCCTGCAATCTAAAGCAACAAAGAATTTGTTTTGTTTTTTGTCGGTCTTCTATTCAAATTGTTTCAAAAATTTTAATTACTTTTTCAGCCACACAATAGCCTGCAGGTAAGGGATAATCAACAAGCTGAAACATGTGTTCCCTAAATGCATTTACATGGTTACACATGTCCGGCGTTTTAAACTAAAACTCAATTAGGGTAAACATTAACACACATAAATCAAGAGCAAAACAAAATAAATCCATATTTCTGACAGTGAAAATTGCCATCAATTTTAAAACATTATGCTTGCAGTTAGCAAAGCCCACTTTTGCCAGCCTGTCATAAAATTGCCCAAACCAATGCATTTAGGGATTGGCAGAGTTTTTGCTGAAATAATTTAGCACAGTGCCAGCAAATTCACAACCATCGAAATCGAAAGCAATCAAAGGGGATTTGCACAAATTTCAGTGGGGCATGCAGAATCGAATTTTTTGTCAGACAACATCAATCCAAAAACGGGGATTTTAAATTGCTTTAAATATATTCTTATTTCCGTAAGTATTTTAGTTTTTTGGGTGGGAGCAGTGACAGATACCACAACAAATTATAAAAAACAACACTCAGACAATGTGCACTTGTAAGAAAATTATATGTCTAGCTACTTAATTGATCGAATCGAGGACATTGCCCCCGTGGCACTTACCCCTGCTATTGACTGCTTGTCATTGTGCAGCGAAGCCTGTGCCGCAGATGTGGGCGAGGTTGCGGGCGTGGCAGAGCTCTCCGGACTGAAATAAGTCAGAAAAGCGCAACCTGCAATGACAATCATTAAATTATTAATCAATAATGGTAGGGTGTAAGTTGAGAAATACTTGTATGAACACGTTGTTCAGTCGAGGCGAAGGAATGTGTTTTTGAAAATACCCATCTCGTAGATAATGTTAATCTATTTGTTTTCCGCGAATACCATGTTCGTTCTATTACACAATTAAAGCTCGGCCCCGTGGAATGTCCTGGGGAATGAAGGGGGATTGTAAGGACTGTTAACCACGACCGCACATATATGTCGGTTTGCGTGTGCAAAGCGTCAACGTGTTTAGCACAGTTTTGTGGCCATTTTCATAAATCCGTGTAATTTTCCCCGCCGCTCGCTTTCCCATTGTTTGCTTGTGGTGGCCCACTAGGTGTTGTTCTATGTTGTTGTTGCTGGTTGTTGTTGTATGTTGTTTTTGCTGTCAGTATGGTGGCAAGGGGATCCTGTCTCTGCTCCTCATTAACTGCTCAACTGCCGCCCCGGCATTTCACCTGGCCGGCGACAGGCTCGTGTCAGGCTAAACCGATTTAGCAACACATATTCCAGCGGCACGAAGGCAACCCTGACATGTGGTCATACCCAGAGTTCCTGGTTCCCCCCATCGACTGTCTGTTTTCGCTACCTCCTGCTCCTCTTTCCCCTTCCTTTTTGCCAACCACTGCAACAGCAACAATTATATTTAACTTTTAGCCCAAAACGCGCGCACGTTTAGGCCGGGAGTTGAGTCCTTTTACCCCCCATCTCTCCGTTCGTTTTCCGTGGCCTTTTGTCTGGTTGAGCTCAAAAGGCCACAGCATGCAACTCGTCAAAAGTTGAACGACAAGCGACCAGCGCTACAACAACTGCAGGGACAAGTGCAAGAGCAACAACCGAACAACTGAACAACCTGCCAACTGTCGACGTCAGCGCCGTCTAACAACATAAAAATTGTCGGCACATTGTTGAAATGCCAGGAAATTATGTGCAGCCCCCAAAGGACGAAGCGGGCGAGAGGAAAGAAAGCCCAGAAAGAGCTGTGGGGTATATAACAGCTGCCAGTAATTAAAATGAGCAATTCACATGGTGTAGTGGCAAAAACGTTGACCAGACCTTTGCCTAATGAGTTTATTAATTAAAAATCACTCTCATACGTCTGTACAGTTGCGTGCATAAAAATAGTAATGCGTGCAAAGGAGATCAAAATGTTGAAATATTTTTTGTTCAATTAAAAAATGTACACAAGAAAGCAGAGCTGAAATTAGTTACAATATGTATTGCTTTCCTTTGCTGGAAACATAAATCTTACTTAAAAACATTTTGTTTCTAAAAGTATATTTACCATTTGGTATTTAAAAGCAGCAAAAAGAAAAGCAAATCAAGAGACTGAATTAATTAAAAACTTTAGAACTCAATTACATTAATTGCTGCCTCCACATATAACTAAACAAATCGCAAACTCTGCTCTTCCCTTAAACTCCCTAAATTTATTAACCCACATTAACCGCTTTCCTGGCAAAATGTTGCTCGTGGGGCTTCGTAATGTGCCTCCGAAGCAATATTATAAGTTGCCTTAGGCTTTTAAAACTTTTCACTTTCAAGAGGAAAGTGCGGTCTGGTATCTCTTTTGCGGCAAATCAACTTTCAAGCTGAATGCTAATGAATCATTTTTGCCAACCCACTGACCGCAGTCGGTGGAGGCGGCGGTAGTTGGCCCATACCATTTATTAGTGGTTCTTGGCGAGGTCGAATTTATGTTTGTGGTTCATTCAGGCAATAAAGAAAGCACATTTTAATAAGAGAAAAAAGACCGACAAACGACTGCACAGTGTAATTAGTTTAGATTTTATTTAGTTTGTGGATTATTTTATTTTAATTAAATTTGTTTGTGGATCAAAGAATCCTTATTCATTAAAGCTGACAGCATGACACAATTTTTGGATGCAAGATAGGTTACAAGTGAAGAAAAAATGTATATCACAAATATGGAAATACTGATTGGTGCTAAACAAGAAGTTAATTCTATTCAAGTACCGAATTGTGGTCGTAATTTGTTCCAAAAATCTAGAAAGTACAGTTGCGTGTCTGTTCGTAGCCAAATTGCAGTCTTATTAGCCGCCACTGAATAAAACACAGCTTTTCACCAGAAAGGAGCCAAACAAGGCAGCGCTTAAATTTTCTAATATGGCACAGGCAGCTAGGTAAATAATTGATTGCAGTTTATCAAGGGGAAGCCAGTTGGCTGTGTTCTTTTGGGTTTCTTTTTATGGTATTAAGTTATTATGTGCTTAAACCTAAATATAATGCCGAAGGCTTCAGATGTTGAACGCCAGCCGTGGCTGTGCTTTTATTGTTTATTGAGAGCCGGGCCGATGTAACAGGCCGATTTAACTGTCTCACCACTCCGAAAACACAAAGGAGCCAAGGATCCAAGGAGCGAAAGGAGCCTTCGTTGAAACATCTTAAGTGCAGCTTCGAGTTGCTGTTATTCTTCGCTGCCTTCCATTTCCATCACACAGGAAATTGTTATACTTAATGGGTTTTTGCCAGTCTATGCCTGCCGGAGGTAAGTGGGCAACCTTTAAATGTTAAATGGAGCTCGCTTAATAATTGATTATTTTGAGGCTCACAAGTAGTTAAGTCCCCCGCCACCGACTATTTCTTGGGCTCAGAGTCCGCATTGTAGCAATTAATGCCCTCTCACCAGAATTTGCAAATGCAAATTGATTTTGCGGATAGAATTTGGGTTCTCCTGCATTGTTTACATGCGTACATCTCTCATGTCTAACTAAATGGAATATTTATTTAAATGAAGCTTGTCTGCTGAGATTTCTCAAGGAAAACGAATTTTTTAAACCATAATATAATCACCCATGCTGTAAGGTATATTTTAAATTTATTCTTATTTTTTATTTACTTACTAGCAATGTGTTCGTTGTGGAAGGCCAACATGATCGTTATTTCTTCTGATTTTTCTATACAGAATTTCTTCTCTGTTTTTACCGATTAGTTAGTTTCGCGTCTGTAATATCACACTTTGGTTTTTGTTTTGAGTTAAATTGCTGCCAAATCTGTAAAACAAAGAGAAGCATATTATTTTGAGGTATAATATTTATCTTTATTTTAAAAGATGTAAATGTTTACTATTTTATTTTTGGTTTTTATTAAACGAACTCTGTTAAACCCAAGCCTTTCTAAAATCGAATCCCTTCACTATTGTTCAGTAGTGCCAAACAAAGTTGTATTTTTGTTTTCAATTGTTTTCCATATATGCACAAATATGAAACTCGCTCCACTCGACTAGTTGAGGAAGTCGCCCTTTGATTTTTAGTTAGACTCTCAGTAAGTTTGACTGCGCAACTGTGTGGCATTTCCGCTTCCGCAACGGAAGCTAATGGAAATGGAAGGCAGCAATTGCGAGGGTCCAAATGACTTGGAAATTCCAAGCTGGAATTGAAAAACAATGTACAAGCAATTTTTAAATAAATAAAGGGCAATTTGGCAAACTTTCTTTAATGTAGCTAACCAGTTTTGTGCAGGGAACTTACTTGTTAACATGGAATTTACAAGCTTACATGTCTAACGAGCGAGTTGGTTTTAGTTACACAAAATATTTGAAGATGTAAAATATTAAATTATTTCTTAGCTAACGAAAAAGGTACAGGAAATATGAGTAGGATATAGTAGTTAGGTTTACATTTTTGCCTGCATATTTAAAGTTTTTTATTTATTCTTTAAATTGTTATGACTTTAAATTGTAATATCATTAAGCCACATCGAGAAGGTGTGACGTTGAAAAAGTGTCTTTCCCAACTCCTGTTGCTTAAATGCGTCTGGTAAATCTTTAATGAGGGACCTAAACGCACTCCAAGTAAATATCGATTTTATTTTCTTGCTAATTTTCTGCTCGTTATTGCTGTTCCTGGGCCCCAAACAGCAGGACAACACACACGTGGGCCACTGTGTGTTGAGCTGCTCCTTTTTGTCCTCGACCAAAAAACAATGAGCTTTCCAGCTAACTTCTTTCGCTTTCGGTCGGTCCCTCTCGTTCTCGCTCTTTCTGTTGGCCCGGCTATGTTTGTGTTGTCTGCAACTTTTCTAACCATTCAACCAAAATAGTCCGGGACATTGTAGCAAAAACAAAGGGGGCCACAACGGCTGGCTATAAGGACGTCTACTGGCGGGGGATGAGGTTGATGATGACGATGACGATGACGACGTTCACGTCGACAGACTTCCTGACTTGCTGAGTTTCCTGCCTCAGCTTGCTGTTTTTCTAAGCCACCGCTGTGAACTTTAAAGAAGGTATATTAGGCCCGGCTAAGTCAGATGAGCTTATCTAAACAGGGTATCTTTCGGTTCGGTAAGAGCAAACTTCATTCTTATGCTTGTTTGGCTCTTCTTGTTCGGAGCAGAAAACCCTGGGTATAGGATTCAGATTTGCATTTACCAGTCCACACCTCCTTTTCCACGCCCATTTCACTTCACTCATGCAGAAGCCTAAGCAATTGGTTTATCTGTATGTACTTGTATGCTGGGATGTGTTTCTCTTTCTGTTTCTGGTTTGTTGGAGTGTCTGGGCTCCGCCGGCAGTAGATATTAGATTTAAAAAACCCTAATGACGGCGATTATGATGATAGCAAAAGGTAGGAGTCGGCAATGTGATTTCCTTGTTATTGCAGTTGAATTATGTTACATAAAGTTTTCATTACCTTTCTGTCTGCCATTGGTTGGCAACTACTTCTGGTTTAAGTCGTAACCCATTAGCATGGCCAACGATTTCCATTGTTTTGGCCTTCTGCTTAGCCCGCATTTATCTTCACTTCTTCTCGCCCGCCGAATTTGGGTTAACATAATGGAGTTTTCGTGTAAACAATTTGCATGCTTTTAGCTTCACCTCATTTACATTGTTTGGCGGAGAGCAAGAAGAGTCGAAAAATCTCAGCATTAAACATTTACTTAATCAATTAACACATCAAGTCGCCGGGCAATCCTTTCATTGTTTGAGTTAAGGTAATAATTGAGAGATTCGAGATAAAACGATTTTAATAATTTGTTTATGGATAGTCTGCCCTAATGGGCTGGGCACCTTTTGCTTGGCTTTCTTTCCATTAATTTCAGTAAACCCTCATTTTGCCTTTTTGTCCTTGTGTGAAACTGTTTGTCAGGCTTATGAGCTTAAGCCAGGACACTCTCACATATTAAGCGAAGAGATATTGCTGAGATGAGAAAAATATATGGTATATACATGCATGCACTCAGAAATATGCCGTGCTATAATTAAGTAGTCTGGGGTTTTATTCTGCCAGGAGAATGGTGGTTCTTAATCGTACTTTAATTTTTGTACTAAAGAAAAACTTATACAAAATAAAGTGCATCCACTGAAATTACTTAATAATACTTAAAAAGTGTAGTGAACGATTTACTTTATTTTTTTATTTGGTTTCTCATTTATAAAACTATTTTTTATGATTAAAAAATTATATCACTGAAAAATTAAACCAAGAAATTATTTGAGTATCTTTTCCTTTTATATTTTTGCACTCTTAATTTTGTATTAATGAATAAAAGTTCACAATCAGCTGGTTTTCATTTAATGCTTGCGAAAGGAAGCAGATTACTCGCCTTTCCAATTAGTTCTGTAATACGTATATACACCCCGTATCTGCATGTAGGAGCATAATAAGTCAAATTAAATAAATTTAATTACATAACCAGCCCAATGCCAGCCAGAAGAGGACCCATCAAGCAGGATACTCAACTTTTGCACGAGTGTGTGGGTGGGTGTGTGTGTGTGTGAGTGCGAGTTTCGGAGGATCCACACCCACACAGCCACATATGCACCCACTTACCCACACAACTGTCCCGTAGATAGACCGAGTTGTTGTGGCGCTGCATTTCTGCCGGAATGTTTGTGTGAATGCGCCTACTTAGCCTTTAGTTTCAAGTGCACGGCCTCTCCGGAACCCCTTCTTCCCCACCACCTTTATGAGGGGGGTGGATGCCCCACCCACTTAGCTACCACATCGGTTGCAGGTGCTCAAGCGGAGCACACACACACACATACACACACACACCGGTATATTTATTCGTCCTGGGTGAGGCTGTAAGTGTGGAGGAGGGGAGAGGTCTGTGTACAAGTTCGTTTAGTCCTGGTCGCCGTTCATGTGAGTGCTCTGAATCACAGGACCCCATCCTCTTGAAAAAAAAACCCACACCCACTCCCATTTTTAACCTGCCACTGAGTCCTCGTCCGCAATCGTCCACGAAACTCAACTGACTTTCTCCGTGGATCCGCCCACCCCTCCCCCATTTCACCCCACCTTTCCTCTCCCACCGATTTTCCCTTTCTCTGTTTGACTTAACAAGTCGTCGTCGGGCGGCGAGTAATTATGAAAATTTTCAAAATGAGCTCTCGTCCTGCTCGTCGAGCCCTCAGTTCAGTTTTTGAAAGTTGAGTACGAGTAATTAAAAATTTCGTAGTGTCGCTGCTACTCGTTTTCCCATTCTAGATTTGACTCATGCCCCGAACCGAATTGTCTGGCATATGCTTATTTAGCTGTTGTTCCCGGAAATATGCATATATACATACATATATATATATGTATATATGTGAATTTAAATTAAATTTATTTCGCTTTTCCTATTTACCTGCAAATATACAAACACTACACTTTCGAGCTGTGTCGGTGAGTGTGTTTTGTGTAGCTGGGCTTCCTTTTAATTAGAAAAGCGGAAAGGCATTTAGCTCTAAAGCGTTGCCGTATAAAAGCTAAACATTACTGCAATTAGTTTTGTTAGAAAGCCTAAGACGGCGAGTGCCACATAAACATAAGAAAAAAACATTTTAATTGAGTTCATGTAGGATGAAAACTAAAACTTAATTAAATAAAGATTAGGAAGCAAAGTTTATTAGACTGGAACAATTTGCATTAATGGGTGAATCATTATTTTCCCCATTAAAAACTTTGTTTTTAAAACTAGTAAAGAAGTTTTTAGTAGAAAGATGTTATTTAAAATTTTTTTTTTATATTTTAGGGAGATTTCTGTTTATCCTTTCTGACAGACAGACTTAAAACACTTAATTTCTTTTCAAGAAGCAGGGTACCTAGACTCCAAATTTGTTTGTGTATTATTTTTGCCTCCTAAGTTTTTCTTAAAATTATGATGATGTACATTAACAAAACGGCTAGCCACAAAGCAAACAAAATGGCCATAATCCTACCATTTATATGAGTATAAAGTGTGAGATAATGAAGCTTTATGGGGAGTTAAATTTAAGTTTTGAGCTTAGTTATGGAAAGTAAGCAAAAACTTTAAGAGGCAGACATTAAAGTCTTCTCATGTATGAATATATAAATATAAAAAGAACACGTTCTCTATGGTATTTGAATCACTCTTTACAAAGGCGAAACATCGACGAATTTACACTTGATAACTCAATAACTTCGCACCCAATCCATGCGAATAGAATTAGGTTGTCCAGAACAACGAAGTCGCTTTGGTCTGTTCAAGACAGACCCGAAAATCAATAATTAATCATGCCGTAATTTGCTTTCTTGGCAGGCCAGACATTATGGCAGCTTTTGGCCAGATGACCTTTTGGTCATTTACGCTTCAAACGAAAAGCAGACGAATCCCAGACAGCCAACGCCAAAGGGATGAAGGTGGAGTGGTTGCATGAATATTTAAAGGACATCTACACGGTTTCCAGTTGGGTGGGGATGTAACTAACTTGTGGCTTTGCCATTTGGCCAATAGTGAACCAGAATTCTGAAGCCAAAACGTTGTTGATGAACCCAGATAACTGGATGATAGCAAAGGGATGTGTAACCCCATAATTTTGACGTATTGTAATGAAGAAACAAAAGGTTTGTCACGAACAGACTTTCAATTATTTTTTTGTATAAAATTCTCTTTTCTCCTCGATGGAAGAATGTCCTCGAAATATTGCTTTTTAGTTATTCTTTCAAGCGAATACTGATGTTTCTTTTTATTGGCACAGAAATTCTAACCGCAAAAATCGTTGACCACTGTCTAAACGGAATGCATGGCTTTTTGCTCATATTCG